GGTTAGTAGCTGCGCATCCTTCGAGAGCTATTTCATCCAATGCGAACATACTTCAGACGGCAGAGCAACTGGTATATTCGTTGGGACACGAGGTCGTTGCCAAGTTCATGGACATGATACAGGTGAGCAGGAGGCGGGGGGTTAGCCAAGCATATGTCTCGTGGGATAGTAGGATAGATGCAGGGAACCAGTGGACGGGGTTATTGCAATATCTGCCTGTTAGCGCCGCCCACTTCGGTTGGTATGGGCAAAGAGCCTCAACCAACGCTCAAGGGATAAGGCAAGTTCAGTGGTGGGTACTGTGAGTTACATGTTCTGAGGACAACGTTCGATGACTGCGACACGCCAACCTAGGAAAAAACTAAACAGCCTAGAGCCTACATTAGCGCTAGGTTACCGCCTTTGCAAGGTTTTAGCTTAATATAGCCTGCAGACCTGTTTAGTTTTTCTCTTGTATGAGGTGGCGAGATGTACCAGAGTAGTTCCTTAGATGTTCTTTCATCGATGCAGAATGGATGCGATAACACTGTTGAGACAAGACAATCTTCTGAGTTTTCTCTACACATGCCCATTCACCCGCGCCCGTGAGCCTACTTAACCTTGACTCTTTCTTCTGCTAAACTTCCCGGCTGACGCGAACCTCCACCTCCATAAAATCAGTACCAACCCAAATTCACCAAACATGTCTGTCCCATCCAAGCAGACACAAGAGAACTCCGAAGTTCCAGATCCATCAACGCATCAAGACGATCTCTCGGATCTGCTAGCTGAACACCCATTCGGTCACATAATCACGAAGCGCGGAGCCCACGAAGCCCACGAATTACAGGGCGTATCAATGAACCGCAAAGACCCCGTAGATCTACTAGACGCTTACGCAGCCCTAGAAATCTACTTCTAGGTCCCCAACCCCCACTCTCACCTGAAACAACTAGAAGCCAACTTCTACCTAACCGACACCAACATCTCCGCCATCAACACGCGCCATGTCGTCGTCCTAGTCCACCATTTTCTCCTTACCGTAGCCACATTGCCCCACTTGGATACTCTCGTTATCAATACAGACGTTCCAGAGTCAGCGACCCAATCGCCGGAGACTGAGCAGCTTCAAACGCGGTTTATTAAGGAGATTATGCGGGAGGTCATCAAGTGGTTTGTAGATGGGGGTGAGAAGATTCGGGTTATCTTGTGTGCTATGGGGGAGAGGGAGGATGGGGGTGGTTTTGAGGATGTTTTGATGGGGGCTGAGGGGAAGGAAGTGGGGATGTGCGTGAAGCCTTGGGAACAAAAGGTTGGGGGGTTGGCTAGGAGCGGGATTGTTTGGCGGAAGGTGTCAAACTCTGCGAGGTCGCTTCCGAGGAGGGCTTCTGTGTAAGCGGGGAGGTTACGTTGGAAGTGGGGGGAAGAGAAAACGTGACTCTTGGAGTATGGATGTGTAGAGTCTGTATAGGTCCTTCATATGATACGAGACTTTGGATTCGCTGATTGCTACTGTATCGTTTGTTATATCAGCTCCTCACCTTTCTTGTCCAGATCTTTCTGTCGTGCTTGCTCTTTCTGATACTCTTCAAAATCAAACCCTAGCTCCTTCACATCTCTGATATCCCTTCTCTTCTCCCCCATCTTTCCAAATGCCTGCCGTATCTTGGGGAAGTTCTCGCGACACCAGTACTCCCATTCGCCCCATATCGGTGGTGTCTTCCCCTTGCCGTTATCTTCCAACCCCTCCTTGCTCTCTGCGCTCAATGCCCATTTGCTCATTGCGTTGATGTAGTTTGCGTCTTTGGGGAAGGGCAAGAGATGGAAGTTTCGTCCAGCACCCATTTCCTCCTCGATGCTTTGCTCCCAGTCGCGCATTCCTTGATGTGAGGGGAGCGAAAGGCGACCGGAGTATACGCGTGCGAGAACAGCGGATTGTACTTCCGCTACCGGGAAAGGAATAACGCGTTGGTTGAGAGCGAGGAAACTTAGTGTCGGTCGGGGTGCATAGAAGAGGTGCTGGTATGTATGATTGACTCTCTCGCCAGTGGTTATGAGTTTAGGCTCTATGTCTTGGAGAAAGGGTAGGCTGTAGAAGTATCCGGTAGCAAAGACGATGGCATCGATATCGTGTTCTTCTGTTCCGTCTTCGAACATTACGCCTCTATTGCTGGGAAGAAACTGCTTGATGGGTGGCACTTCTCGTCTCTTCTGGTCTTCGCCTGCTGTTCCGTGGGTTGCGCTGAACATGGACTGCGATCTTGTCGACCAGAGAAGCGGCTTTTGACAAAACTCGGCGATCTGGGCACTGACATCTGCGCCAGACGCTGAGTTTCCCACGACTATCGTCTTCTTTCCCGTAAAGTCTTCGGGTTTGCGGTAGTACTTTGAATGGCTGATGCGACCGGGATGCTGTGCAGCCCACTCCTTGATACCAGTCATGGGTGGGATGTAGGGAACTATGAAGTGGCCATTCGCTACAATAACTGCATCGTAGATTTCGGATACGTCTTCGTTCGTAAGTAGGTTACGCGTAGTCACTTTCCATGGGCTGCTGGCGGTATCGGGGTCTACCGGACTGACATTGATGACTTGAACGCAGTATCGAACGAGGTCTTGTACATCCGCGGAGTAATCGTCGATATACTTTAGTACGGTCTCATGAGTAGGAAATAGCTGACTATCAGAAGGCCAATCCAGGTCTTGGAAGCCCATCAGTCCTCTAGGTATATTCGTTTCGAGGTTGGCGTACATTGGCGACAGGAAGGAGGGCATCTTTGAAGTTCCGTTGATGCCATTTGTATCGATGTTTTCATTCCTTACTGCATCTTTGGATTGCCACTCTGGTTTTTGAACGTCTTTATTGGGATTAGTTTGAGGTATGTCGAAGAGATTCTCATCTCGCTGTTCGCCTGTATATATCCAAATTCCTCCTGGTCGGCTTCGTTGTTCGAACAAGACGATCTTATCAAATGCCTTCTCCGCTCGGAGATATTTTGCTGCCGCAACACCCGATGGTCCAGCGCCTACTATGGCTATCGTCCTAGCTCTTATTGATGTTCTATCGCTATCAGAAGACATCGTAGCAAAATTTAGGGGGGCGAAAGAACGGAAGTGACGAAATGATATCAAAGTAGGCGCCGAAGCAACAGAAATTCTAGTCCAAGGGTATCTCGAAAACAGCAAGGAGACCATGGGAAGAAGTTGGTGACAGGGAATGACGCCGAGGCATCGAGGTGGAAAGCGAAGATCGGAGCTGGTCGGAATGGCCTTCCGATCGGAAAGTCTAGGCGAGGCTGACGCGCATCATCGACCTCCTCAGGCAGCTTCATGTGACGTGAGCTTGCGCATTCCACCGGCGGTCAACTGATGATTCGGTCCTTTGTACCGAAACTCTATTAACACTCTTTGACCGACACACCCCTCATTCATGTAGTCTCCCTGTTCTCCAATTCCTACCCAGCAATGCTACGCACACTGCGCTTTGCACGCGTTTCACCAGCCCCGCGACCAGTCCGAAGCTTCTCAACCAGGATCGCAGCCATGGCACCACTACGCATCGGCTTCGTGCCAGGTAAGCGCGTCATCAATACTGTTGCATCGCCCACTGACGGAATTAGAACACTTCTCCACACCGCTCGAGTTCGCGAAGAAGCACTACGGCCTGGACGCGAAGCTCCTCCCGTTCCCAAGCGGCACAGGGCACATGGTCACGGCCCTGCAAGCCGACGAAATCGATATCGGAGTTGGCCTTACCGAAGGCTGGATAGCGGCACTGGGAAAAGCACAGGCGGCTAAGCAAGACGCTGGCTTCAGCGTGGTGGGGACATACGTCGAGACTCCGCTGTGCTGGGCCATATCCACAGGCGCCAAGAGGGATGAGCTCAACGGAATACAAGACCTCAAGGGCAAAAAAGTTGGCGTGTCCAGGATAGGAAGTGGCAGCTACGTGATGAGCTTCGTGCTTGCCGACCAGCAAGGGTGGCTCGACACTTCGTCCAACAGCCCACCATTCCCCGTCGAGGTGCTGAACACGTTTGCAAACCTCCGCGATGGAGTCAACGACAGCACGGCCGACTTCTTTATGTGGGAGCACTTCACGTCGAAGCGCTACTACGACAACGGCGAGATCAAGCGCATCGGCGAGATCTACACACCCTGGTCCTCGTGGAAGATCGTCGCCGCAAACCATCTATTGAACCCGAAGAACTGGAGTTCGGCACCCAACGCCAGCAAGCCAGTGCTTACTGGGGAACTCGAAGACGTCATGGACAAGATCAATAAGGGAGTCAAACACTTTGAAGTAAACCAAGAAGAGGCCGTCCAGTACATCAGCACCAAGCTCGATTACTCAGAAGAGGACGCGCGAGAGTGGTTGAAGACTGTTCGCTTCGCCAAAGATGTGAAAGGCGTGGACAAGGAGATCGTGAACAAGACCGTTGGCATACTCCAGAAGGCTGGTGTGTTGGGCGGGCAGGTTGATCAGTCCGCTATGATCGGGCTCGAGCGACATGCGGCATGAAGCTAATCTGTGCCAACCGCTGGATATCATGCCACGCGACTCGGACAACGGTTCGCGCACCGTGCCCAATAGCTCTAGTGTCGGCAGGCACACCGTGCAAAAGGATCGCCAGTGCATGGTCGGAACGATGTCAAAGCTCGGAGATTTGGGTTCTATGCTTTTTGTTTGTTATGTATTGCATATCAGTCAGAGCATCCGTCTGCAATTACCAACGCACCAAAATGCCTTCACCTGCGCTGTCACATCGAAGAGCCAATACAACGCACAAGGCAATGCATTCACCTGTTTCACCTCTGCAGAGTGCGACTTCACAGCACCGCGAAGCATTTATACTCGCCGGCAGATTTTCATGGAGTGCCCTTGGAGATTCTCACACAGCTACCTGCGCCTCGACCACCGACCTTCCACTGCAACGGACCCTAAAAGCCTTCGCCTCCGAGTCCAGCCCGCCACGAAAAAAGCCTACTTTCGTCAACTTCTCAAGACCACTACCCCCGCAATGCCCGCCGGCATTCCGAAAGAGCTAGAGTTATCTCACCTTGACCAGCAGCCACACATACGCGTGTATGGCCGCTACTACATCATCTTTCCTTTTCCGGACATCAGTCGCGCCCATGAAGCAAAAGAGGCGCTGCACAATGGCTTCAAAGAAGTTCTGAGACAGTTTCCATATCTTGCTGGCACTGTGGACTTGGACCCCTCTACCGACCTTCTCCGCGTGCAATACCCCGACCCTATCGATCTCGAAGCCGAAGCACGCCGTATATTCACAGTCAGTTACGATGATGCACAACATAACTATGATTCACTTGCAAAAGACGCCTTTCTTCCAGACGAGCTGCCCGCTACTATCTTTTGCCCAAATGAGCTGAAACACCACGCTGGACTGGGCGAAGATGCGTATGCCGAAAGGATGACAAGCTTTTCGAAAGGACCGTTGCCAACCTTTGCAGCTCAGGCTACCTTCATTCCCGGAGGTTTGATACTGAGCGCCTGGTGGTATCATGCCGTTGTCGATGGCACGGGCAACGGAAGGATCCAAAAGATTTGGTCTGATGCAGTACGAAACTTGAATCCTGAGAAGAAGAAACTACCGCCAGTTCGTCCGCCTGCCAGATACTATCGTGTACCAAGCTATAAGGATCAGCTCCAACCATTGAAGGACATCGTCAAAGAATGGAACGTAATACCAGATCCGTCATCGGCGCGCCAAGCGCTCGCAACACTCGTTCAGGAAGCCGATGCGGCAGGCCAGTCTACCAACGCACCTGAGAAGCCATTCGCTAAGCGCTTTGAGCTTCGTAAAGGGCCGGATGAAGGATCTAACAAAGTCGTCGCCGAAATGTTTCGCTTCTCATCGCAAGCTATCGCAGACCTCCGCAACGAGCTATCCATAAAGATTGGGAAGCGTGTATCTAACTTCACCGTACTGTCAGCCATCGTCTGGGCAAATGTCATACGTGCTCGCTCAAAATCGATCACCGCTTCGGGTAACACGCAGTCGACCCTTGCCGTCGTTGTAGACCTCAGAAAGTTCCTTCCACCGCCCTTCTCATCCCCAGATTATCTCGGCAATCTGGTACTGTCTGCTACACCCACCTTGGATCTTGATGGCGCTACGGCCTCTCTTGAGGACATCGCAGCCAAAATCACAGACGCTCTGCAGGCCATCAACGCGACATGGGCAGTCACCCAGATCAACAGCGTCCTGACCAACCCTGCAGAAGCGCAGCAATCCCTTTTGAAGTTCCCTAAGGGCCCAGACCTATACATCACTAGTTGGCAAAGGATGGGAGCTGACAGGGAGTGGTGCATCCCAGGAACGAGCAAGCCAAACGCAACTGCTATTCGCCGAGCAGCGTGGGTCAGCGAAGGTGGCATCGTGGTCTTGCCCAGAGAAGAAGACAAAGAAGGACAAGAGGGGGAGCCGTATGAAATCATGATCAGTCTTACACAGGCCGATATGGAAAGATTCAGAGACGGGTTGGAGAATGCCGGATTGTTGGTGGACTCGGCTTACAGGCCTGGCAAGGTCGTCGCTTGGCGTGACATTTTCTCTCGTCGTCTCACCGGATTCGGACTGGCCTACGGTGGTGCGCTCTGCCTCTTGACTGTCATTATCTGTGTGTGCACTCTGTCCCAGTCTGCGCGGATAGCTGGTATTGCACAGGGTCCTGCTCAGGAAGAACTCAGGTAGACAGGCTTTGTTTAGAGTGTCGGATCTTCTATAGGTGGTCTGACATCGGATAGGGAGTTACCCTCATTACGATGAAGGAATCAAAGAGAACTAGGCAAAGGCGCCTGTGATTTGACCGGAATGGCTACAAGTGCCGGATGTATTTTAAACCCCCATCTCAGGGCGTCCTCAAATAAAACTTTCAATATTGCTGCATAATCATACTTTTAGGTCTCCATTATTCATGATTCGTGCTGTTTGTGTTTGCTCCTGGCCGCTGGCATCGCAGCAAACGAGATCGTGCCTCGCTTGCGCGATCCCCTTCACCGCTCGGACCTGTACCTACAGTGGACTAAATTAAGTTATCGTGCAACAATTATTTTAGAACTTTAAAACTATAAGTAAAGTAAACTTTTTAACTTAATATTATACTATATATTATATAAAAGCTTAGAATTTAATAAAATATATTTATATTACTATTAATAACCTCTTAAAAAAGAGATTAAATATAATACTTCTTTATATAAAAGCTTTATAAGCGCTACCTTATATCTACTTTTTTATATATAAGTAAAGTTTCTATACTTATACTATAGTACTTAAAAGCTATAAGCTAAGTAGTAGTAATTATATAATACTTAGAAAACTATTATTTAGCTTATACTATAGTTAAAGTATATACTTATATAACTAGTAGGCTTAAGAAGCTTAGAGTTAGACTTATAGCTAAAAGAAAATCTATTAAAACTATACTTAAAGCTACTAAACTAATTTTTCTACTTACTATATAAAAAGCTAATAAAAGAATTCTTACTAGTACTATAAAAGTAAGTAAAGGTATAGTTATTCTAAATATAGTTAGAGTAGACACTTTTAAACTAGCTAGTAATACTTATATAGCTAGTAAAGTAAGAGAACTTTTTAAAGCTATTATATATATTACTATAGTTATTATAAGCTATTATATTAAGTATACTTTTAAAATAGACTAGAATAGCTTTAATATATAAAGCGCGCTAAAATAAAATATAGTTTATAGTAATATAACTAGTATAAGTTATAAAAAAAGTAATAGTAAAGTTATATAAAGAAGTACTAGCTATATAAGTAAAGAAGTTAGCTAAATAAGTATAGTTTATACTCTATATAGAGTTAGTATATAGATAAGAGTAAAAGAAGATATATATATAGTATAGATAAAGGCGTTAGAAAAAGTAGTAGTAATAGTAATATTAAAGATTAGAATCTTTTTATATAAAGTAGAGTTAAAAATAGTACTTATTTAGTAGTCTTAAAAGTAAGTAATAGCGCTAGTAGAATTAACTAAGTAAATAAAGTAGTTTTAAGTAAAAGTATAATAGTTTATATAAAAGGTTTTATAGTTAACACTATATATAGAGTAAAAGCTAATATTAGTATTATAAAAAAAAGAGTTCTTATAAGTAACCTAGTAGCTAGTCTAAATAAAGCTAAGACTAGTAGAAAGATTAGCTATAATAGTTATATAAAGATAAGTATTAAGAAAGTTAAGCTAAAGTTAATAAAGACTATATAAGAGTAGAAAAGTAAAAAGAAAGTAAAGTATAGAAGTAATAGAGAAAAAGAAAAGTAAGTTATTTATATACTTAGCCTAGAGACTATAATTATAGTAGTCTTTTACTACTCTTACTATATAATTTTCTTTTCTTTTTCTTACTTATATAATACTTTAAAAAGTTTAAGAAAAACTATAAAAAAATAGTATATAAAGAAAATTTAGATTTCTAGTACTATATAATACTATTTAGCTATTACGTATTTTTTAAATATTATATTATATATAATATCTATATATATAATAAGTATATAGAACTCTTAAGGTAAGAGAGACTAAAAATATCTAAGAGCTAATAAAATTCTACTTTACCTCTAACTATATTATTATCTTATATATATATAAAACTATACGCGCTTCTTACTCTTACTCTTACTTTTAGTAGAAACTCTAATAGAAGTTAGCTTTTATATAAGTATTAGAGAGTTAGAAGACTTAAATAACTTAGATCTAGAAATAGTATTAGCCTAATAATTATAGAAATATAAGTTTTTTAAGTTACTAGTATTATTCTATATAACGCTATCTTTAATAAAAGATAGCTTAACTTTATTAGTAGAGAATAAATACTACTTTTAAAATTTAGAAAGCTAAGAGATAGATTACTTTTATATAATAAGTTTTTTTTACTTACTTTTTTTTCTACTTATAGGTATTTTAGGTTCTTTTTTAATAGCTTTTTCTTTCTTAATAATAAATTTTTTCTTCTAAGCTTTACGTATAGGTAAAGTTAAAGTATTTTTTTTTTAACTCTTTCTTATATATTTTAAAGTAGATAAAGATATTATATATACTACTCTAAATAGCTTTTTTAAAAATACTTTTCTTAAATAGCTTAAGTATTATATAGAAGCGCTATACACTTTCTTCTAAGTATATTAGTCTATTCTTTATAATATTTAAAGCTAGAAACTTTAGAAAGTCTTTATATAAGCTATTCTATACTTTATTTATCTTACTAAGAAGCTAGTTATTAATAAAGAAATCTATATTATCTAGAGTAATATTCTTAATTAGAAAGTTAGACCTAACTAAAGAAATATAAGAAAGTATATTTTTAAGTATACTATATAAAACTTATAAATAATTTTATAGCCTAAGAACTTTATTAGAATTCTACTACTTAGTTATATAGAGTATTAAATAATAACTAATATAAGATCTATCTTTACGTAGCTCTTCTTACTAGTAGTAAGATCTTTCTACTTCTATTTCTTTATTAGAATTATGCTTTTATTTTTTTTATATACGTAGTTTAAAATAGAGTTATTTCTTACTAGTATAAACTCTATATAAGCTTAAACTTTTATTATATTCTAGTTTATTAGAGAAAGTTATACTTTTAAGAGTAGATTTATTTATAAAAGTATATATAGAGCTCTTAATATAGCTTTTAAAGTAGAGCTTTCTTTATCTAGTAATAAAGAGTTAGTAACTAAGCTAGTATACTTATTCTACTATATATAAGACTTTATCTATAGTGTATAAGAAGTAGTAGAAGAGGTAGAAAAGAGTCTCTTTTTATTTATATTTTATTAGCTATAAAACTTATAGAACTTAGTAATCTAAGTAGAGTTATATTTTTAGCTAGTATTTAGATAGAACTTTATAAAAGCTATTATATAAGAGCTAAGAAGAGAAAGAAGAGTTAAGATAGAGAAAGTATAAAAGATTAGAGAGATTAAGTTATATATAAAGAATTTTTATACTTCTCTATCTATTTTCTTAGCTATATATACTTTTTACTAGCTTTTATTTTTCTTTTTATATAAACTATCTCTAATAATAATAAGAGATAGTAAGCGCGATTATAGTAGCTATAAACAGAATAGAAAGTGTAAGAGTAGCAATTATAAGTTAGGTAGCTAGAACATAGTAGAGATTTAGATTAATTTAAGTTATATATTAAACTATAGTAGCTAAAGAGCTAAGAAAAAGCTAATTAAAAGTATAGTTACAAAAGTGTAGTAGTAAAAAGCGTACTTTAAAAGAACTTTATTTAGTATAAGAAAATATATTCTTAAATATATTCTATCTAAATCTAAATATATTCTATCTAAAGTCTAAAGTAGAATAAAATAATATAGGTAATTTCTATAAGGTATCTTAAGAAGCTAGGTAAGTAGAGTGTATACTACTATATATATATAAGCGCTAATTAAGTGTAGAAAGGTTTAAGCTCTTATAGGTAGTAGATTTTATAAATCTAAACGTAGTAACTATTATAAGAAGAAGAAGTGTAAAAGTAGTAAACACTAGAAGAATAAGCTTACTATTAAATATAGAGCTTATAAGGTTATTTAAAAAGTTTATTAAAAATATTAGAGCGTAAAGTATATATATATATAAAGTGTAGAGGCAAGTACTAATAGTATATAGAAATATATAATCTCTTTATAAATATAGAGCTCTAAAAGTTAAATAATTTAGTAAAGTGTATTATAGGTATTCTTAACCTAAAGAGTAAGAGCTAGAGTAAAGTAAGTAAAAAGATAGAAGTAGGTTATAAGAAGTAAATAAAGGCTATAAGAAATTAGAATAGTCTAGTATTATACTTAAGTATCTAAGCGCTAAGGCGCGCGTAATATATTAGTTAAGTATTATATTAGTATAGGTATTTATATATAAGTAGCAGAGTAATTATACGTAATAGTAAGAGTAATAGTATTATAATATTACTAGTAATAGTATTTCTATAAGAGTAGCTAAATACAAAGCTATATTTAGTATATTAGTATATACGTGTAATATAATATAATACGTGTAGTGTAGAGTAATTAAGTATTACGTAGTACGTAAGGTAGCGCGTATAGGTAGACGTATAGATATAGATAGGTGTGTAGGTGTAGGTAGGTATATAGGTATAGGTAGGTGTATAGATATAGGTAGACGTATAAGTGTAGGTATATTATAAAAGTACTAGCTAGGTAGCTACCTAAGGTAGTAGGCGCCTAAGGCACTACGTAGCCTTAGTAGACTTAAGAGCTACGTTAAGTAAGCGTACATAGGTAGGTTATTCTAACTTAGACTAAAGAGTCTAGATTAAGAGCTCTCTAATAATAAACTCTATATCTTTTACTACTTACTTAAAGTCTATTTTTAATATACTTTTTTATATACTATTTTACTACTTTAGATACTTTAGTAGTATCTAGTTAAAGAACTTTACTAGTGTCTAAATTAGCTTTAACTAAAGTAAAAAGTTAAAAGTAATATATATCTAGGCTCTTATATAGAGCGCTAGATATACTTTTTAGAAGACTATATCTCTATCTTCTACACTACTTATAATAGCGTTTTATAGATTAAACTCTAACTTCTAAAGCTATATTATATACTAAATCTATATAGCTAAAGAAAGAATAGTATTTATATTTTAGTTTTTTATCTCTTTATCTAACTTAGCCTAAATAGTCTTATTATATAAAGTTCTAAACTTCTTAATATAGTTTTCTAGCTACTAGTATAGCTTATTAAGCTTACTAATAACTATATTACTTACTAAGACTTAATTCTTTAGTTTATAGTACTAGTTCTATATATATAGTAGTTCTTAAACTTAATATCTAAAATAATACTTTTTATAAAGAAGTATTACGCGTATAAAAAATATACTATTTTACTACTATAATTAGACTATATATACTAAAAAAATAGGCTAGCTACTTTAATAGTATTTAAGTACTATTATATAATACTAATTAAGATGCTAGATAATACTCTTATATATATCTATATCTATATAATATATTAAGAGTATATATCTATTCTAGTATATATTTTAATACTAAACTCTTTAAGTTTATTATAGCTATTTATAGACTATATAAAGTTTAGTTCTAGTATAATATACTTTTCTCTTCTTCTCTATATATCTCTTCTATACTAGTCTATTTTTTTTAGATTTAGTGTATAATAGATATAAAATATATAGTTTCTTATAATATAGTTTCTTTTTAATCTTAAATAAGTATAGAGATAGCCTTTACTAAACTTATTAAAAAATTTCTTTTTTAATTCTTTTTTAATTCTTTTTTATATATTCTTTATATAAGCTTATCTACTACTACTTATAAACTTATACTTATAGCTTTTTTTTTTAATCTAAGCTAAAACTATATATAAATTAATATCTACTTTAAGATATTATAGCTCTTATTTTTAAGTTTTTTTAGTATCTTTTTATTATAAAGTTTTAACTTATAAAAGAAGTACTATATAAACTATTTAAGATACTTTTTTATCTTTAGTTTTATTTTTTTCTTTAACTTCTACTTTTTTAGCTACTTCTTAATTATATAAATAAACGTATATATTTAGCGCTTAGTATTTAGCTAAGATTTTAACTCTTTTACTATATAATCTATACTATATAGTTTAGTAAGTTTATTTTTATAAAGTTCTAAGTTAATAATAAAGTATTTAGCTAAGAATATTAGTATATATACTATATAAAATAATATTTTATATACTAAGTATAGTAGTATTACGCTCTTATATAAAAGTAGTTAAAGTAGTAAGTTTTAGGTAAGTAGAGATTTTAATTTTTCTATAAAGTAAAAATAATTATTATATAACCTCTTAATTTAGTCTACTGTATGTACCTGCAGTTTCATGACTGAAAGTGACGATCCTCCGCGGCATGCTACCCGCTAGCGCCCCATCAAGCATCGACCCTGAGAAAATCCAGTTGCAACATAGCACGGCCAGCTTGTACACCAGCGCTCCATTATTAGGCACTATCGTTACTATCGACATACCTTACCAAATCCCAGACTAAAGCCGGAAACATGGATCCCGAAAGAGAGAGTTTGCTCTCATACCACGAGACGCAGCGTGAAAGAACACAACAGCTGCTTTCGCACGAAATCACAGCGAGTGCGCAAGCTAATGAGGATTACCCTGTTGATCATGGCAAGGTGGCGTGGATGCAGGTTCTCGGTGGATTCATTCTGTTCGCGAACAGTTGGGGCTTACCAAATGCATTTGGGGTTTTCCAAACATACTACGTCGACACCTTGATGCCGGAGCAGGATGCGTCGCGTATTGCCTGGATCGGATCGATACAGCTTTTCTTCACCACGATTGGCTGCTTGCCTGGCGGTATGCTGCTTGATCGGGGATATCTCAAAAGTATCATCGCTGTTGGCACGGGCCTCGAGGTACTTGGTTTGATCCTGACTTCCTTCTTCAAGAGCTATTGGGCCATCTTCTTCGCTCAGGGAGTGTGTATGGGCATTGGCAGCGGTTTGATGGCGATTGTGCCTGTCGCTGTGCTCGCCATGTTCTTCGAGAAGAAGCGCATGCTGGCTACCGGTCTTGCATCGACTGGTGCTAGTGTTGCCGGTATCGCTTACACTCTCTCCTTACGCTCTCTCTTCCTCAGCGTCGGGTTCGCGTGGGCTGTTCGCATCTTTGCGCTCATCATATTGGTGACTAACGCCGTCGCTTTTGTGGTGATGCGCTTGCAGCTTCAGTACGGATCCAAGGGTTCCAGCTTTGGGTTTCACCACTTCAAGGATCTACCGTACACGATCTTTGTCGTCGCCTTTACGCTGTTTGTCGCGTCCTCGTTCGTGCCGTTCTTCTTCATCCAGGAGTACGCCATCAAGCTCGGTGTGTCGAAGGATATGGCATTCAACTTGTTGTCGATCATGAACGCGGCCAACATCTTTGGGCGCTTTGTTCCAAACTTCATCGCCGACAGGTACGTTCTCAAAATCCAATATTCGTAATAGCCCAGGACTCACAACTCTAGGTACGGCGGTGTGAACACCCTACTTCCTCTCACCGTCGCATGCATCATCACCCTCTGCATGCTGCCCCTCGCGCAGGAATTGTACGGTCTCATCGCTATCAGCATCGTATACGGCTTCCTTTCGGGCGGCGTCATTATCATACCGGGTCCAGCTATTACGGAACTCTCTCCCAACAAGGCCGCCATCGGCGTGCGTCTCGGGTTGGCGTATCTAGTCGCTGCTTTCGGTGGGCTGCTCGGCAACCCTGCCATGGGCGCACTCAAGGGCGAGGGAAATGGTGCGGTAGAGAACTTCAAGGGCGTCTGGTTCTGTGCCGCAGGCGTTATGGGTGTGGGTGCCGTAGCGCTTGTTGCCACACGATGGCTCAAGTTAGGTGGTGTGTGGGCTGCGGGAAGAGTATGAGGTTCGACTGGTAGAAGAATGTCAGCTTACCGTGGCTTATCTAATCACGCCCAATCATGCAGGTTGGATCGGCGCTGCACTGCGTAGCCTATCAGATACTGCCACCGATTATACCTCCAGTGGTAGTTGGGCATAAGGCAGTATCCTGCAGATCTAGATCACTTGATAGCTGCCATGTTACACTGCACCCGGAAGAGGCAATATTCCAAATACAGTCGAAGCAGTGTGGCATGAGAACAAGATATAAGATGGGTTACCGTCAGCATACCCTCGAATGCCACCAGTATCCTAGTCATAGATTGAGTGCCTGCCGGCAAGCGAAAATGCTACTCTTCGCCTCCACAACCTTTTCCCTCTCAATCTTCTTGACACTCCCAATCACACGTGCGGCTTTCTACTACCCCACCCCTGCTCTTTCCTTCCTCGAACACATCCTCGTCGACAACTGGGGCGCCTACGCTTCGAACTTCTCATCCGCAATCACACCCTGCACAAACTATGTCTCGCAGACCGGTACGACAGGGCTCAATAGTGGTCGCACCACGGCAGCCCAATGGATGCGCGTCATGTTCCACGACTTTATTACCGCGAATGTGAGTGCCGGCACGGGAGGTATTGATGCTAGTATTGGATTTGAGACAGCGAGGGAAGAGAACAAGGGGAGTGCGTTTAACGATAGTTTTTCGTTTTGGAGGCCGTTTGTCGGGGAGGGGATTTCTAGTAAGTGCATCGCTTCGACGGGGTGATCGGTGATGGAAACGGTACTGATGAAGCGGTAGTGGCCGATCTTGTTGCGCTCGGCACGGTCATGTCAAATAATCTTTGCGGAGGCGCGCAGATGCCATTTCGACCTGGTCGCGTTGATGCGACGGCAGCTGGGAAGACGACTGGAGTTCCAGCACCGGAGACCGATTTAGAAGAAACCTTGCTGTTCTTCGAGCGCGCTGGGTTTGACAAGGTGGATGCTATTGGGCTCACGGCTTGCGGACACACTCTCGGCAGCGTCCACCACGTAGGTTTCTGGCTGCCATTCGATTAGACGATACTCACTCATCAATGTAGGGTGGCTTCCCGGAGGCTGTAGACGACAGCTTCGTCACGCCCAATAACACGAATGGCGGTAGTAACTTCGACACTACACGCGGCGTCTTCGACCCAAACGTCCTCGGCGAATATCTCAATGGTACAGGGACGAAGGGAGGACCGTTGGTGAACTCCTACAACGACACGATGAACTCCGATAAACGGCTTTACGAAAGCGATAAGAATGCGACGATGCGTGCTCTCTTCGCACAAGGAACGGCCTTTCTTGATACGTGTGCCGAGCTCATGGGTCGTGCCATCAATACTGTGCCTGCGGGTGTCCAGCTCCGCGAATCGATTGCTATTATGCCGGTCAAGCCGTTCAACACGACCTTTGACTTCGGCCAGGATGGGAAGTTGATGCTTTCGGGCAAGGTCAGAATCCTCACACCGGCGGGCAGCTCACCACCGCAATCACTCACCCTTCGCATGAGCGACCACGAAATGCAACTTGAGCCAGAAATCGAGACGGGCAGCTCAGTCTTTGGTCGCAGTGGGGGTGAATACGGAACTACGACTTACTTCCCGTTCTCGCTTTCTGGACCCGCCATTCGAAATGCCACGTCTTTCTCCGTTCAGGCACCCGAGGTACCAGAACAGACTTTTCAGATCGAGAGTCAGGCATTCATCGTTCCAAGCCTGACAGTCCTAAGCGGCACAGCACTCAATGTGACAGTTGCCGACTGCCAAAAGAAGTCGTGTGAAGGTTTGACTATCCACGTTTCTGCCCCGATAACACAACTTGGCACGCTGGCGCCGAAGATGAGTGGGATGATTATGGTACTGAGTGAAGTGAAACAGGAAAGAAGGGTGTGTGCAATGTGCGAGGGACAGATTACCCTGCCTGATATGCCGACTGGGCTAGTAACAATCGAAGCTTCCATGGAAGGCAAGCTCGTTGACACCCTTTTGGTTAATGGAGGGCAAGCTGGCTGGTGAGGTGTAGGGATCTGAATTGTTGTCGTCTCTTGCTGCATTCACGCTGTTGAACTTTCAAGACTAGATGGCTCTCAATACAATGTATTCTTCTACCCTAAAAGATTTTCTTCTAGTTTGCGACTCATACGACAACGCCTACAGCGACGATGTCGACAGTGACCACGGCCGCTCACCAACATCCCACTTCTTCGGCTCTTCACCCATATAGAACACCAACTCGCCTCCTTCCGCAAGCTCGCTATGCTTTAACCAAGCTCGATCGAGTTCCTGCCCGTTCCAGGTAACTTTTTGCGGGTAATAGCTTGTGCTTGACAGATTCTGGGCGCGAATGCTCAAAGACGTCACGGCTGCCGTTCCGCTAAACAGCGAGACCTTTAGCCAAGAGAACCGAGGAGCGGAAAGAAGGTAGAGCGGCTGCGCAGACACAGGATACATGCCCATGAGATTGAACACCAACCAACTGGGTAGCGCACCACCGTCGATGTTTCCGGGGTATCCGTTACGATCGTCGCTGTAAAAGTCGTCGACGATAGCTCGGGTCCGATTGACTGTCATCCAGTTCATACCAGGTACGTAGTTGTAGAGGAAGGGCGTTGCGAAGGATGGTTCGTTTCCTGGGTTGAAGAGAGCAGAGCCGGCATCGTTGTTTGCGCCGACTGATGTGCCGAAGCCTGGAATGAAAGAGGCGTCTAGCCGACGAACGAAAGCATCGTCGCCGCCCATCAGATCTATGACTTTGGCCATGTCGTGTGGGGCCACACTGAACGCAGTCTCCCACACCTTGGCTTCGTAGATGTCTGCATCCCAACCGCATGTTCCGCAGCTCAGCGGGTCGTAAGCAGTGGTGTTCCACGTCCCATCCGCGTTTCTAGGGCCTGGGAAGCCAGTGAATGTACCCGTGCCGTGGAGGGTTGTGTTTGCCATGGGATTCCATTGGTTCTGCCACCAGCTTGATCGATTGCGCATCTGATCGATGTCTCCTTGAGATTTCATGAGTCCAGAAGCCATGCTGTAGATCGCGAAGTCATTCTGCGGGTACTCGACGCCACGAGAAACACTGCGGGTGTGGTTGCGTGTGATGAAGCGAAGGGCGAGATAATCGTCCAGGGCGCCTCTACCTTCCTTGGTGGCTCCATCGAATGCGACCGGATCAACGTTGCGCTCGGGCAACACGTTCGCGTCTTTCATCACCGCCTTGTAAGCTTCTTGCCAATCGATGCTGCTGTCGAGTTCGCCGCGACCTGTCTCGCCGGATAGTGCACGGATGCTCTTAACGAAACCGTCAGCTAGGACCATATCTGCGTGTGTGCCACCTTGAACGCGACCATTCCAGTTTGCCGCACGACCGGCCGGTAGATAACCCTCTTCGGTGAAGATGGAGATGAGACCAGAAAGAATGCGCGAGTACGGCTTCGTGAAGATCAGGTGATACAAGGGAAGCAGGGTACGATAAGTGTCCCAAAGCGTATAATGGTCATCGTAGTATGGCTTAGCTTCGTTTGACTCCCAATTAGGGCATTCGCCGGTCTTGTCGGTTGGCATCAGGCCTGTCTGATAGAGCCCAGAGTAAAGCATTCTCTTCAAAGTTTTGTTGTTACTTGTGGAATGGCCATCGTCGCCGATCTGTATCTTGTTCAGTACTTTATCCTCCCACTCTTGTCTCGATTGATCGACGATATCATCGAAGGACTTAGCATCAGGAAGCTCATTCTCCACGTGCGAACATGCTTGGGCAGCACTGATGTACGAGATTCCCAACTTGGCCTCAAGAGCAAGGGTGCCGTTGACTCGCTCCTCCGGAGGAGACCAGCTGAACAAAGCGCCTAGGCCCATTCCGCTTCCAGCATAGGATCGAATGTCGGGATATCCACGCGGCACTGGTCGGGCCTTGAAGCTTGGTGGCATATAAGGATTGTATTGCCAACTGAGTGTCCCAGCGCCATGGGCAATACTCGAACGATTTCCTTGCACATAGTCGGATGTCGGGGTCAGGACAGATCCCGCAGGCACACTAAAGTTCCCGCAAAAGTGAAGTGTGTGGGATTCTGGCTGTGGCCATCCACCTGTATAGGTCGCCGATCCGTGGTATGACGGCAACCCGTTCGAGGAAGACCCGATATGTAGCTGCCCGTGCAGGAACTTCTGAGAGTAGGCCATCGACGAGTAGGCTGGAAGCACGTGTGTAAGGTCCACAAGAACATGCGCATCGTTGTCATTGGCTGTAAGGGCTTCTGCCGTCGTTGAATCAACGTCGAATGTGGAAAGATTGTTCAGAGGGACTGCTGGGTGGGGGAATGTGTATCGCATGAATCCGGTGTGGTTCCCTGAAGTGATCTCGATCTTGATGCCGTTTTCTAGAGTCGTAGTGAAGAGGCCCACAGTTGCAGACTCCAATTCCAGACTGCGGTTCTGTGCATAAGTCATGTTATCGGCGAGGTTGATAGATGCGAGGTTGCCATAGAGCGGCATTTGCGAGATCAATCCATCTGTCTCTCGTTAATACTCGTTGGCTCCGTCCGAGCAAGCAGGTAACTGACAGGTTGGAGCTCCGCCGGATCCGCTGACGTGCGTCATACTCACGGCTGTCACATTTCCCAGAGGCGTGTATCCGGCATTGGCGTCCACTGCACTGCCATTCGGAAGTCCAATGTAGCTCGTGTCAATGCCTGGTTTCGCCATTGCCCATGGTAGACTTGCGCCGGGAAAGGAGTTACCGCCTGCGATGGCAGAACCAGGTTTTGAGCCCACTGTACCGACCAGTGGATCGGCGAACGTCCACAACGGCTCACGAGATATGCCATGACTTGAAGAAGACAAAACATGTGAGGCAGACTCGAAGACCGTCACCCAGAAGAGCAGTCGCGATAGAGAGGGCTGCCGCCGGCTAGCCATTTTGCAGCGCAAGCTGGTCGAGCTGTAGTTGAGATCGTGTGAGATGAGGGACAAAGCTAGCCATCGCAAGTTATTGTACCCTATGAGTTGCGCTAACGGCACCCGTTACTAGGTCATCCTAAACGGCGCAACGGCATTACAATGGCGGTGCCATCGGAAGGCTCATGCGCACATGATCTCGCGAATGGGAAAACGTCAGGGACGAGTTGGGCGAGTTGAGCGACCGGAGAACGCCCGTTGTCATTTTATCATCTCATGTCAGCACCTCCGATCGCGTTCAGGCTCCCCAGTTTTCGGGTCGTCATTGCTCCGTCACCTCCGAATGACGATCCACGTGGAGAAGGACCGAATAGCTGTCTGCCCGGGCGACGGCCTAGTTGAGCCGATCTTGAATTCCGCGCACTTTTGACGTAGCCTTCGTATGGACGCGCGACTAAGCTTGAGTTTGGGTAGTCAGTTACTGGTGAGGCTTTCAAGTAAGAGAAGATCGCTGACCCACTTTTGATCAACGGAAGGACGGCTCTTTTTTAGATTGAACGCGGAGATCTTGTTCTTTCCGTATAAGTCAAGGAATTTGTGTTAGCTACTCAGAAAGCAGGGCTATGAGCATATATATCGGATGCTTCGCTGGAGCTTGCGCTATCATCCGACGCTGTCGAGGTATCCTCCGGATCATCCTCGTCCCCACCTTCGTCCGCGGTCTCATCTCCGCTTACCCCTACCCCGGGTGTATCAACATCTTCAGATATCTTGGGTGGGTTCCTACAGTCAGCCTTATTACAAAGACAGTACTGGTCACCCTTGAACCATTTCGGACCGTAGTCTAGTGTCAGCTCTTCGCCGATAGCGAGTTTTCGCTTCGTGACTATATAAACGGCTCGACGCTCCAGAAAACACACCATTTCTACAAATTCCGTATTCGGATTGCAAGAGTGGTTGATGAAGCGAGTTACACCTCCGGTATGAAGAGCGTCTATAGAAGCTGTGGCGTGTGTCTGAGTCTGGTCTAAGTTTGGTTTACCGATCGAGATCCCAACGTGATAAGCATCTCGTCCATGAGCTGGAGTTCCATCGTCTTTAGAAAGTAAGATCTGGCCTGTGTACTCTCCTACAATGGTAGAGTCGTAAATCATCTTGCGCGCAAAAACACCGTGACCGCGAGGACCGACGTCCTTTAGCAGTAAGTGAGAGAGCCAGAAGCCATGCAGATACTTTACCCATGCGTTATATCCACACATACAATGTGCGACATCTTCTGGTGCTTCGCAATTGGGGCATGGCTCGATGCAGGACTCGGTCTCATCAACGTCTCCAATAAGACCCTCAATTGTGCCGGGAGGCCAGTTACCTCGGAAGGCTGCTGGCCTAGACTGGCCATGCCAATGTTCTGCATTGAACGCGGTTTCCAGAGCGACCGAGCAGTAATGCTTTCGATTCGCTGCGTGTGTAGCTACTTTATGTCTGGGAATACCGCTTTTGTCCTGAGAGTAGAAGAATAGGCTACCCTGTAGGTCGGGATTGTACAAGTCTTTCAGGAGCTTAGTGACAACGCCAGAGGTGAACGCCGTCTTTTCGTGTTGCTTGCGCTTAGCCTTTTGCTCAATTTGCCGGAAGACTTCATCTTGTGTTAAGGGTAACATCGTTGTTGCCATGTAAGAAAATGGTAACAAGGCCTCGGGTTGATCCAGAGTTTGACTCCCTTCTGACCAGAACAGACATACTCGAGGTATTTACGTATCAAGGCGATATCGCGATGCACTGTGACATTGTGAAAGAGCATATATATATCGTGCCAGTGTAGTCGTCTGTTCCATAAAGAGACTTGAATCGCGCGCTGTAAAATCCCGATTGCGGTCGCAGGGGCGTTTCACAGTGACCATGCTGGAAGAAAGAATGATCGCGCGACAAAAAATAGTCCACTGTATGCTTGGCACGTCCGCGCTCTTGCAGGAACTAGAGCGTCGAGCCTATAGCATGTGATCTGGACATTCCGGCGTATGCACGGTGTGGACATATCCAAGGCTTGGAATTGACGCTAACGGGGAACAGCTGCGGAGAAATATCGCAGGATAGATGCTGGTTAATATGCGTTCTCCTCCGTGTCGTGATAGGGCTAGACGAATGGTTAGTACGTAGAGCATGCTCAGATGTACGCTGCAGTGCGATCTGCAACGCCATGCACCCGGCGCTGGAAACGGGGTACAGAATAGATCGCCGTACTACTTGCTTCTGTGGAACTCCGGTCGAGGATAGCTATAAGAAGCCTCCATGGTGCAGGGACTCCGGAACTAGGTCGGTCAACCTTCATCTCAGTCGACACCATGTTCGCCCTCAACTCCATGTTGCCTGTGCTCTTCGCAGCTGTGGCATCCGCGCAGCTCACCTCAAAGCTCACGGAGATCACCGACTTCGGGCCTAACCCGCGCAATGTCTCGATGTTCATTTACGTGCCGGCCAACCTTCCGCCGAACCCCCCGATCTTGGTGTCACCCCATTGGTGCCATGGTGGGATTTTCCCGTGTACGAACTGTCTGTGAGACTATTACTGACTTCGTACATTCATCTTTAGGGACGGCCCAGCAGGTCTTCGATTATCGGCCATGGGCTTCGCTTGGTGACGAATATGGTTTCATCTCGATCTATCCCAATGCTTCAACGCTGAACACGGATCAATGCTGGGATGTGAGTAGCCGAGAGTCACTCACACACAACGGAGGAGGCGACGCGCTAGGCATTGTATCCATGGTGCGCTGGACTTTGGAAAAGTACCATGCAGACAAAGGCCGCGTTTTCGTTACAGGAACGAGTTCAGGCGCGATGATGACCAACGGTAAGCCCGGACGTCATGAGATGCATGTGAGACACACACTGACTCCATACCTCCCCAGTCCTTATTGGTAGTTATCCAGATGTATTCGCAGCAGGAAGCGCATGGGCCGGTGTACCCTTCGGTTGCTTTGCTGGCGACAGCTTCGACGTCTGGAGTGAGGCATGTGCCACTGGCCAGATCGTCAAGAACGGACCGCAATGGGCAGCTCTTGTGCGCAACGCATATCCCACATATCGCGGCTTTCGACCGAAGTTCCAAACTCTCCATGGCACAGCAGACACCGTACTGTATCCACAGAACTTCCGTGAGCAGATCAAACAGTGGACGAGCGTGTTTGATGTGAGCCAGAAACCGACGGAGATTACGGAGGACGTTCCTTTCGAAGGATGGACGAGGTTTCGGTACGGCGACAAGTTCGAAGCGTATGAGGCAGGGAGCGTAACGCATGATATCCCGACGGATGCCGATACGGTGATGGACTTCTTCGACTTGAAGTGCAGCGGGCCGGGCTGCTTCTCGAGGCCCAGATCGGGTAACAGTACATGGTAGTTGATATGGTGTTTTGTTAGCTGCTGCTGTAGAGTTTGCGACACACAGGCACTATAGCTCTCCAGTACTAACGGAGAATGGTGTGCGCCGTTAAATCAGACGGCGGCCTGGTCTCGGTTCGGGCTGGTCATTGAGAGGGTCTATCGGCGTAATGCGACAAACCCCAGGTCTTGCAAAACAAACTTAGAATAATGACAGAAGACTCAGGACAGTGCAAGCACAGCGCAAAGATATCGCAGAAACGCTCTCGTGATGCGGATGCGGACAAGATGTGGTAGGCATAGAAGAACGCGTTTGGGTTCCGCGACCCCCAGCATGGAAGGTTCGGCGCGTACCTAACCGGTGCTAGAACACGTGACGTCATCAGCCGGCAACGCGATTTCATCCTGTGTTCTTGACAGCTCCCAACTACCACGGAAGAATACCGCCGGGCTTTACCGTGACCAAAGACTCTTTTTTATATACAAAACACTCATTCATGATCATGATAGTAGCCGAATTCGCCAAACATCAACTATCGAGCACAATGCGGAGAAGACGCGCTAGACACGAGGTTGCGCAGCCATTGGCAACGATTTGCAATTCCCACCCATCTGCTGCTCCCATTGAAGATGCAGTCATGTTACGATGCAGCGTACGCGTAGATCGCGTAGACTACCTTGGATATTCGGTCGCGGATGGCTTTGACCCGAGCTCATAGAATCGACAAACACATTGTACCCCACTCAGGGTTTAGCGACCCCAGATGATCACACCAGTTGCCCCAGCATGCAGTCCAAGGAGGAGCATATTCCCCCCGCTGTATAGCCAAGAGTTGGGGAACCTTGTACCGCTCGTATGACGATGCTGGAAACTCACATGCGGCTGGAGATCCTCCGCAGAAAGGATTACTATTACGGGCAAGTTCCCCGCGCAGTCTTCGTTACACCGACGTTGTCGTTATAATGTCCAGAATGATCCCTCATAGCTCAGCTAGGAGCATACGCACCTTTCCCGTCTTTCAGCGATGCGGGTTGTGAAGATTTTCGCGGCCTTTTGTGCCTGTTCAAAATACACGGTGCATGCTTTGCTCGAGGAGAAGTTCGTGGGCTTCGAGCCTGGAGATCAAGCCTTGGATATTGCTGGCGCTACCGTCATAGCTGACGCAGATGATTTCGTGGGTATTCACATCGCGCTCAATAGCCTGGTGGACGACTTCGAGCAGATCACTGGAACCCGACCCGCGCTCAGTAACGCCACTACTAACTCTACAATATCGACTTCATCAATGGGCATCATCGTCGGCTCGGTGGGATCGAAACTCATCCGTCATCTGTCCTCCGAGAAAGGTCTTGACACATCAGATCTTGAGGGGAAATGGGAAGTGTTCAAAACGGCTGTGATAGCTGATCCAATAGCCGGAGTGAAGTGGGCGCTGGTTGTTGTGGGCAGCGATAAACGCGGTACTATTTTCGGTGTACACACGCTTGCCGAACAAAGTGGGCAGTCTCCGTAAGCATCTTCATCGTATACATCTGGGTGGTGATTGATGGTTTACTACAGATATCATTGGTGGGCGGACGTGCCGGCGAAGAAACACGCCGCTATCTTCGCACTGCCAAAAGTCACTGTTCATGGCCCGCCATCAGTCAAATACAGGGGGGTCTTTATCAACGACGAAGCACCAGCATTAGTAACATGGTGGGCTGCACGACACAACTCCTCTTACTATCCTCTCGACACCGAGTTCTACGCCCACGTGTTCGATTTGCTACTCCGGTTGAAAGCCAACTACTTATGGCCTGCCATGTGGGGATCGACAACACCAGCGCCAGGTCATATTTTCTTTACAGATAACCCAGGAAATCAGCAGCTCGCAAACGACTACGGTATCGTAATCTCTACCAGCCACCACGAGCCGATGCAAAGGGCCACCAATGAATGGAACGCGACTGAGACCGGGCCCTGGGATTGGAGGTTGAACAAGGAAAACGTCACACGATTTATGGAAGAGGGTATTCGCAGGATGGAATCCAACGAAAGCTATGTGACGCTGGGTATGCGCGGCCCAAGTGATAGTGCGATAGTTGGTGACGATGCCCTGGAGATACTTCAAGAAGTTTTTGAAGTCGAGCGTCAGATCTTCAAAGAAGTACTAGGTGATCAGAAAGTGAACCGTAAGAGTAGTTCCTTAGACAACAGGTTTAGGCCATACTGACAAAGTGTAGAAGCATGGACGATATATAAGGAAGTGGCGACGTACTATGCAGCCGGACTCAACCCTCCCGATGATGTCACTATCATCATGCCCGATGATAACCATGGCCAGATTCTGCGGTTACCCACTGGTAACGAGACTGCTAGGGAAGGCGGTGCTGGTGTTTACTTTCACTTCGAGTATTTTGGTAGGCCGCGATCGTACAAGTGGTCAAATACCAACAGCTTGGTCAGTATGCGCAGCTTGCATGATCAATCTTTTCCTAACGAACGCAGTCGAAAGTGTTGAAAGAGCTTTTGCAAGCTTACTGGCGCGATGCGAACCAGGTTTGGGTCATCAATGTGGGTGATATCAAGCCTTTGGAGTTACCTCTTGGATTCGCTATGGACTTAGCTTGGGATATCTCGAAGTTCGACTTCGACATGATACCGGAGTATATGCGCCTTTACGCCGAGAGGGAGTTCGGCATAGAATATGCAGATGATATTGCGGCTCTATTGATGGAGTTCAACTATCTCATTGGAATGCGCCGCTTTGAGATGGTCCAACCAGACACGTACTCAGTATTGAACTATCATGAAGCGGAAACGGTCCTGACAAGATGGAACACGCTTGCGCGCCGAACCAAAACACTATACGACCAGATGCCGGACGATCACAAAGCCGCATTCTACGAGCTCCTGTTCTATCCCCTAGTATCGGGCGCCACATACTACGCAGTAAACGTTCGCACTGGGATGAACTACCGTCATGCTATGGAGCGAAGGAACTCTGCAAACGCCCTTGCTCATCAGATTTTGGCCGACTTCGAATATGACTACGATCTAGTTGAAGGTTTCGACGCTGTCCTGGATGGAAAATGGCGTAACATCATGTCTCAGGCCAAACTCGAGACATTCGACACAGGAAAGCCCAAGAATTGGATGAACCCATCTCGTGACATAGTGTCAAATCTCTCCTTCGTTCAACTGCGTCAAAACATGCAGTTCTCCGTCGGCAATCTTGGTATCTATGCGGAGGGCTCCAATAGTCCACTCGACCAGGGCCGATGGGCTGAGTCAATCGATCCATCGTTGCCTTTCACCAAGTCACCAGCCAAGGTACCGGAGATGAGTCCCTATGGGCCTCGTCAGCGGACTATTGATCTCTTTATGCGAGGTGACTACCGCATTCCGCTCGACTGGCAGCTCGGTGATATCGCGGTGGATTGGCTATCGATAACACCAAGCTCTGGTAAACTCAACCAGACCGTCGACGAACAACGCCTCAACATCACCATCGACTGGACACGGGTGCCAGAAGGATACAACGACACCGTAGAGGTTGATGTAACATCAACGCCATCATTCTATCCATATTACGATATCATACATGTTCCAGTGAACAATTTTAAAGTACCCAGCGATTTCCAAGGCTTCCCAGAAACAGCAGGTTACATATCCATTGAGAGCCCGCATTATCAGCGCTCGTCGCTCGGTAACGGCACTGCATACAACACGGTATCGTTTGCTCATATCCCCTACTTGGGCACGCGCACCGAATCTGGCTCTATCGCAATACGACCTTTCCATGCTGCCCGGGCTTCTCTTGAAGACGCTAGTAAGGCATTTGTCGACTACGACATCTATCTCTTCAACCATACCACTGCCCTAAACGCCACAATATACATCAATGCCTGCCTAGATACCGACCCGAATCTTCTTATGGAGTTCTCGCTTTCCCTTGATGACAACCCTCAACACTTCACGCGTATGTTGGGTGACCCGAAGGACGCGGGCGATGTGCCACCGGAGTGGACCAGTGAAGTGATGAATCAGGTTTGGACGAGGAAGGTCAGTCTTGGTGAAGTAGCGGAAGGGAAGCACACGCTTCGTTGGAGTGTCAATAGTCCGGAGGTTTACTTGGAGAAGCTTGTTCTAGATACTAGGGGCGGGGTCAAAGACAGCTATCTAGGGCCACCAGAGACGATGATGGTAGGATATACATGAGGGCGCAAATATCAGGCAGCTCCTTTCAAGAAGGGCTACTGCGTGGTTGCTTTGGAGCCCTCGAAACGCTCCATGCGATCGGCGCCTTTCGACCGAAGCTTTGCACCATAGATGTAGAGCTACGTGATAATGTCAGTTAATTTTACATAACAGGCGAAAGCAGCTGCACATACCAGTGATACCAGTGGTAACCCCAAACCCAACACCAAAAAGCCCAGCAATCCCACGCCCCAGTCAAGGCCAAGTGTATCAAACAACTTCTCTCCGAACAACGGAAACGCGCCGGCGAACATGCAGCGAAGGAAGGATATGGCCGCGACTGCAGAAGCGGGAAACTTGAAGGCATCGATGGCGTACAGCTGCAGCGCGAGCTGGATGTTCATGCCTCCGGCCATCATAAGCATGATGGCTACCAGCGGCACCATAAAGTGCGTTCTGGTGGCCGTGAACCCGTACATGAACAGTCCACCAACCAGCAGTGTTCCACCAACAAAACAGCTGACGAGTCTCGACTCAGGCTTGTACTTCATTTGGCCGGATGTTGTGTCTCGCTTGAAGATGGCTTCCATAGCACGAATAGTAGCGAATGTACCGAGGAGCATACCGATGCCAGCGGCCAGGAAGTCGGTGCCCACAATACCAACGCTGTGTCCATATCCGCGACCAAAGACATCAGCGTAAGTAACGATGATCAGATATACGACACCGAATACGACTGAGTAGAACAGCGAGGCTAGCAACAGCGCTGGATCGAGAGCTAGGTATACCAGGGGTCGGACGAACGCGTTGACGAGCGCAGTAGGGCCGGTAGAACGGGGCTGAAGATCCAGTACAGTATACAACTCAGCGCTAGGCCTGGTTTTCTGTTCTCTTCGTAGCTTGTTCTGTAGAACCCTGGGTGCGTAGGACTCATCGAGGAGGAGAATTCCGGCGATCGAAAGCAGGGCGCTGGCAATGGCGGGTATCCAAAGAGTCCATCGCCACGAAACCCGCTCTGACATCCAGCCTCCACATACGGGGCCCAAGACGGGGCCTAGAACACTGCGTTTTGTAAGTAGGGGTATCAAAGATGTAAGACTGTAAACCCACGGGCCAAGCATCACGAGTCCAGATGCCTTCGGACGGGCAGCGAGATCCCACACGTCAGATACGAATCCACCCACTACCGCGATGGCAGCAGACCCGCCGAGTCCAGCAAAGAACCGGCAAACTGAGAACTGAACAGCAGTTTGAGAGAAGCCACCTCCGAGAGAGAAGGCAACGAAGACCAAATTGCCAAAGTGTACAATCGCTGCTCTGCCGTATCGTTCGCTGAGTGGGGCGAGAACGAGAGGACCGATAGCCAATGCGAAGAGGAAGATGGACACTTGCAAGGCGCCGACTGTACTGTCCGTGATACCCAGGTCGTTCATGACCAGGTGGATGGATGGTGCAAAGATGGTGCTTGCGAAGGGCGAAATGAAACAGCAACCTCCCACAATTGCGGTAGCGCGCACTTTCTTAGCGGTTGGCCAGGACTAAAACGCATGTGAGCTCTGAGACCGGGGCTAAGGTACTCACACTTACGCGAGGGTGTTCTTGCGTATCTTCATCTAGTGATACGAAGTTTGGATCCAGATGCCGGAGTTCGTGACCCGTGACGAAGATCTTGTCGGGCTGAGAGGCCTGATCCGTGAGTAGCTCTTGGTAAGCTTGAGTGACAGTATTTTTCGGTCGTAACCCAGAAGTCTCGATATCAATGGACTCGCGCATTTTTGAGCTCAACTCGGTGATTGACATGTTGTCGATAACGGAATCGATGCTAATGGAGAGAAGAGGACAGGAACTGATGGGTATTGAGATGAATACATTAACGTGTAGTCCAATTGCATACTTATATAACATTGCCTGTCCTTCTACACCTTATAACCGATAGTCGCCTATCTATCGGTGTTAGGCGGCCGCATTCCCAATTCCCCATTGTGTACAGGTGGAGGCCAAGACACAGCGGGAAGCTAGGCGAAGAGAAGACTCGGGTCAAATCGGATAACTAGTATGAGATTGCAGTAAGATCTTGCAGTAAGATCTTGCAGTAAGATCTTGCAGTAAGATCTTGCAGTAAGATCTTGCTTCTCAAATTTCGAAGCAATGCCATGACACGCTCGCGTCGACGAAACGAAGAGAGTGAATGTCGAGTTAGACGGCCAAGCAATATCTTCTTCTTCTTTCCGCCTCTTCTGGATACCTATATAGATATCGCTCTCGTATCAGCAATACTCTGGAACAGACCTTGTGGACAGAAGGGCGCGAGTCTGCGCCTTGCTTGCGGAAAGCGTCTGGGTTGGTGGATGTCAGTCGCATGTAAATCAGGAGGCCCACTGCTTGAGTAGCGCGAGACCCTATGGGACTAGCGTGCGGTTGAAAATCGCAGTAGCACCGATAACGCCGACCGCCGCATCTTCTCCCTCCACATCATACAAGGGAAAAACTGAACACCCTGGAGCCTACGTTGCCGTTAGGCCACCGAATTTGCACGTTGTTATCTTAATGTAGGCCCAAAGTGTTCGGTTTTTCTCTTGACTGGGGTGCCTCCGCTCTCATGCCCATGAACCACCATGACGCATGCTCGGGATGTGCAGACATGCACCCGCTGCCGTTCAGCCAAACGCCAATGCGACAAACTCCGACCCGCGTGCTCACGCTGCAGCAAGGCGAAGACCAATTGCATCTACGAAGCACAGGCTCCAGAAACGCCATCACTTGGGTCTCATGATCGCTCGGAGGAAGCTCTCTCCACTACAACTGCGTCTTCCTCACCAAATTTGCGCGTAAAAAGACGCGCTCGAGCTTGTTTTTCCTGCACGCGTTGCCATCGACTCAAGATCAAGTGCGATAGACGATCGCCTTGTAGCAGATGCGCACGTTCCGGGTTTGAGACAACATGTCTCTATACGCACAGAGTTAAGATAGCCGAGAAGCCGATTGTACCGTCTTCTGTCTTTGCGATTGAGGACCCCGAGTTTGTTGTGGCGACCTGGTTTCTGAGAAAACGAAGCTCTAGCCATTTCAAGGCTCTCTTGGATCGGGTGAGTTACTCTTATGCTGCTTCTCACAGCTCCCTGGCTTCTGATCATCGATAGCTAGAAACTCTACCCGGCCTCGCAGCGCCCCCGTTTACTATGGCTATGCAGGAACACATTGCGGGAAATTGCTCGAGTGACTTCGCTCTAGCAGGCAATTTTCCCTTCGGAAGTCCGCAGTCTCAAGTTTACGCTTCGCTTGATAAGATACAAGACCTTTTGCAAAACTCCACTGCTTCTGCAGTGCTGTACGCTGATGCATACTTCAGAGTATACAACCCTTGTCTACCGGTCCTTGACCGGTCCACATTCATGTCAAAAATGGAAAGTTTTCACCATACCCAGACGACAGAGGATCCCAGTTGGCTCGCCCAATACTCCGTAGTACTCGGTCTTGGCGCATATGCCACCACCCACAATGACTCGGCTTCATCGCAATACTTCTACGCCAGCGAAGCTTGCTTAGCGCAGACGGCATACATGTATCGTCCAACAACCGCAAACATCAGTACACTGTGTCTCATGGTGCTTGCAAAGTCGGTGGCTTATGCAACCTGCTGGGCTCTGGACACCAGCTGGAACGTTATGGGCCTCGTCGTTCGCTTGTCCATGATGATGGTGCTACACAAGGAATGGATGGCTGGATTCGACGAACCAGCAATTGCTCACGAGAGACAAGCTCGGCAAAAATTATGGATGGTGGTGGTATATATGGACATACAACTGTCATTGGTCACAGGACAGCAGTCAGTACTTCCACAGGATGACTTTCCAATCGAAACGGAACATTGCGCACCAGCGACCCTGGAAGACTGCTTCGAAACCGTCTTGCCCCGTTCGCTTTCGATCATACGTCACGTTTTATGCCGAATCAACTCGCAGCTCGAGCAGATCACTTACGATGAAGTGGTACAATATGACCTCGAGCTACGCCAGCTGATGCGTCAAACGTCAGACTTGCCCGGTAACGAACACCTACGATTAGCATTCGATCTATTCTTTCGTCGCGCGCTATCAGTTCTCCACGGGCAGTATGCGATAGCTCATGATGCTCAATCTCTATATCCGGTCTCCTATTTATCGTTTCTCGAGTGCAATCTTGCGCTGATGGGGCATCACCAACATTGCTTGTCACCCCCAGAGCAGAGCACGGATCTGGGATTAGTCGCACAACCATACATGTTGGACTTCTTCGCAGCTGCACTGTCGACATGTGTACAGCTTCTCGTCACGGTTCCGCCCCCTGATTGCGCAAGGGTACTTAGTACTTTGAGCAGTTGTGTTGGGCTCATCGGAAAGCAAGAGAGCAAATCGCTGTGCTTTCGCACTGGATACCACCTCCTAAGTGCTGTTTTCGACCTGACAGACAGGACATATTCGAACAGCCAATGAGCAACCACAGTAGAATAAGATCAAGTGTTAGAATAAGCCCCTGACCTACAGACATCAATTCACATGCTTCCTGTTTATAGTAGTTCACCCCATGTTCACATTATCGAAATGATGTCGTAATATAAATTACTTGGTTCATACACTATCTACATAACTTCGAATCCGGAAGCAGATTCCTACAACCGTCTTCGGTAGTGGCCAGTGCTGTTTCCACCAGTGATCTCGGTGTCCAACACGGCAACACTGAGTTCAGGTAAGTTGAAGCGGAACACACCATCGCTTCCGGCGGTGAGCATCATGTTGTTGGTCTTAACGATGTTGATGCCAGTGAAGGGGTCGTTGTACATGTATGGGTCGCCAACGGAGTTGGTAAGGTAAGTGAGGTTGGCCATAGTACCGGGAGCAATGCCCTGGAATTGGACGCTCACAGGGACGTCAGCGTGGTCGGTGGTGTTGTAGACAGCACCCTTCCAGACCATGGCACCGTTGCGGTTCTCATCGTAACCAGCACCCCAGTAGAGGGGTCCGTAGGAGGTGTTGGAGTGGGTG